TTCATGTCACAGGTGAGACAATGTAAACAACAGCCTATAGAGAATCCAGTTACTGGGGTTTATTTAAGAACTAAGGAAATCTGAGTTTTTACCTTATTTGGATGCCTCCCATGCTGGTTCATTTGATCCCTTCCCAGCCTTACGTTTGGTGGCTCCCCATTGCCCCTCCCAGTAAGGAGGTAGCTGCTGGCCAGGGCAGGTTGGACACAAAGTTGTGTGTGTTCCTGCTGTGCCACTGCTTGCAGCTACCAGGCCTAGGCATCACAGACCAAAATGTATGGATGTCCCCTGGTCTCAATCTTCCTGATCTCTGGGATCTTGCCCTACTTCCAGCATCTTACTTCTAAACAGGATCTTCACCTTTGTCTTTCCAGTCCCTCTTCTTTCTGAGATGACTGCTTTTTGGGGAACCTTTCATTTCCACCTCCTCATCGTTCTGGAACCCCCAAGCTCATGATGTTTCCAAACTAAATAGTCCATGTGCAGAAGCACAACAAAAGCGATCAGCATTGTAGCTGGTGATTCATTTTCCTGTCTTTATCACTGGAGGATTGAGAGTGAGCCTCTTTTTCGTAGTCTGGGTGTTACCAAAAATTGCAACTAGCCTGTACCAGTTGTGGTTAGCAAGAATCAGGCTTCTCTATCTCCTTCTGCGTCTCCACTTCATACAGCCAATTGCCTGAATGACAACTGTTAGCATTCATAATTAAACTGGTTTTCACCTAAAACGTTAGGATAAAGTGATGATAGGTAAGGTAAACAAATGACACTTGTTGGATTAGAATGATTTTCCTGCACGTAAAATTTAGAGTGCTGAGGTACTTGCATACATATCCAGAAAGGTCATTAGATCCAAATATTCCATATCAAAATTAACCTATTTCAGTGCACAACAAGAAATAGAGTGATTATAAATCTGTACTCATCTAGATTTTAGGAAGTTATAATTTCTGTTATGTATCAGGGCCCCAATAATGTTAGTTTAATTTTTAAATCAGATTTCAAGGTGGAGATCAGAGATGAAATCTTTGGCTTGTATGAACTGCCATAGCTCTGCTCACTTTGGAACTCTGAAAAGTCAAACTGTCCCTGATTGCCAGAACAGAACATCGAAAAGAATAAATGTTTTCCTTTCTCTTAGCCTAGTGAAATTGTATATACAGTCATTAATTGTTATGGTTTAATCAGTGTTTATAGTTTTAATAGTGTGTAATGATATTTTTTAAGTTTTTGTAGGCGACGACTTGGTTATGAGTGTTCGCAGAATGTCAATGGGATACATTACTCCTAAAGGCATTCCAAATGTGCGTTCGTTGGCCAGAGAATGTCTGCTTTTCATAACTGCAAGATACTGCTAATAATGTGGTTGATGGTTTCTTCTATGAGAGGCATGGATGCTAGATGACAGCTCCCACTACATGAAGCTCTGTTGCTCATAGTAGCAGGATCTCACCTCTGCTAATAGTTCAAATCCCTTTTGCACTCAGAACTCAAAATGATCAGTAAATCCTTTGCCTCTCTCTGAAATCAGGACCTTGCTACTCTTGAGTTGCAATGGCTTCTTGTTCTCATTTCCAGCTGTGCTGAATGACAGATCTGCTCCTGAGCCCAGAACAAGGAGTACTAGCCATTAACAGCCAAGTCATTGAAAGACTTGATGAAATAATCTTGTCAAAACTGTTGTAGTTTCAATGTCTTTGTTTTGGTGATACAAGGAATGCTTAAATAGATGATGACAACTTAGCCTGGGAGTTAACAGTGTAATGGTATCATATTAAGAACATAATATTGCAAACTTTTCTGCAGAGTAGTAAGGTTTTCAGGGTATAGTTATAGACATTTTTGAAGCCCCTTCTTTTTTTACTGCACAGAAAATTGCTTTCACAGCAGCAGCGTTTTGTCAAAGCTAATAGATAGCCTGACATTAGAGAAGCTTTTCTGTTAATTAAGAAAGATCTCCATTTAATTTTGGAAAAAAGAAAAAGTACATATCATTCTCTGCATCAGCAATGCTTTTATTTTTTCAGTGAATAACTCAGGAGTATTCTGAAAGTTAAAGCTTTGATTGTTAGTGGCTATATGAAAGCTTTTCTAGATATGTAATTTAAAACAAATTGTGAATTACAAGGTGATGGAAGAAGCTTAAAAGGAGAACCTGATTCATAGATGACTGCTTCTGGAATTGCATGCTCTGAAACTTTAAGCTGTTCTAGTTTAGTCACAGGAAGTTAACTATGTCATAGGGTGGCAGAACAAGAAATATGTGTTAATCCATATTTCTAGAGATTAAAGATTTGTGTAACTTGCTAGTTAATATAGTTATCCAGATCAAGTTCTAATGACACCCTAGTTTCAGTGAACAGTGATTTAAATAGTGATCTCATCTCATGAGACCAGAAAGCAGAATGCTGTCGACAGAGCCTGATGAGAACACATAAATCTGAAACCTGGAAAAACACTATTTTTACCTTGAAAATTAAAACCCAACACACTTCCAAGCCTTTCAACAGAATGGAACATTGCCAAAACATTTTCAAAAGGAGGAGAAAGAATGATGTTTTGTATTCTTCTCACTGCTGTATTCTGCAGTACTTGCCAAATTTAAAGCTTTTTTAGTTTTTTTTTGCAGTTCATAGTATTTGAAAAACCACCCATTAGATCCACGTAAAACTCCTCTCCAATCTTCTAAGTTAGCAAAAATCACTTATGCAAAGTAGAATTTAAATACACACATGAATACCTACTTTAGGTAGCTATTCAAGGAAATAGGTATAAACTTACATACATACTTAAATCGTTTCCTAGATTAAGACTTACAAGAGTGATGTTTAAAATAAGCATAGTGTTTTAATAGTACTTTGATTATGAATTGTATGCTTTTAGAAACAACCTCAGGAAATATCTTTATAAAAAAAATGTTTGCATCTCTATAATCACATATATGTTATCAAATTCATGGCTATCATGTCTTGTGAGTCTTATAGCAGGTTCTTCCTTGTCTTCTCCCTTGGCGAGAAATGCATGCTCACTGAGTATCCTCTTCTAGTAAGCCTTTTTGTTTATATTTGTTATGTGCATATTGAAATAAGAGGTACAATAGCAAAGAAGCATACGTTGCGATTCTGATGGAAGGTGTAAAGCATGGTGTTCTAGTTGTGATGCCTATCTTTTAGAAAGCTCCCAAATATACATAGCTCTCCCATGATCATTTTATTATGTAAAGAGATGGAGAAGTGCCATTACAGAGTGAGCATTGCCTTAACAGTGAAGTTGACCACTGTATTCTGGTAAAAAAAAAAAAAAAGAAAACCAGCATTTTTTAACAAGTATCCTTGTGTGTTTGGAAGCCCTTGAGGATGGGGAAAAAAAGAAATGCCTGGCCCAGCAATATTAAATAAATATAAAACTATTATATTTCAGATTTGGGATGTTCTAGCATGTTAGACTGTTTTATGAAGTCCTAATTTTATGAAGTAAGCTTTGTAACATGTCTTATCGTGAAAGCTAGGAAGTAAATAATTCTGGGAAAAGAAAATGAAATCCTAAATTAAACAAACTGTTAAGTGATTTGGATTGTTTCAATGAAAATAAAAAAAAAGAAGGTTTGATATCATTGGAGTCATTGAAACCGACTTTTGTGATGGTATTCCAAACATCTCTGTTAAAAGATCCCTAGAGTGGTTGAGACTAGAAACATGTTTTCCTGTGGAGACATTTTGGATAAGGTTTTGTAAGAATAGCAGTCCTTCGTGCACAAAAGGAACTGAGTCCAGGGCATAGGTCTTTATTGGTACTCTGCTCTAATTAGTTAAAAACTTTTTCTTGATTGTTACTCAAATTTTTGGTTCTTTTAATACACAGGGAACAGGCCAGGGGCTAAGGGTATTTGGGTCCGTTAGGAATACATTTGAACTGAATCATTAAAAAAATGCTTTTCTTTCTCTCTCAATTGCAAATCAGGAATGCATTTCTGTTGAGAGACAAACCATTTCTATTAAGTGGCTACATACTTTATTCATTCATACTGATATCTGTGAAGAGTAAGCACACGCTTAAATCACCTGTTTAAATGTCAGTCTGAGATCAAATGTTTGCATATGTGCTTAATGTATAACTACATTTGACAGATATTGTTTTCCCTTGAACTATCTGATACGTGTTTAACATAATAAGAAAAATGAAGATTTGATTAAGCGTATTTTTAGAAGTATGGTGGTACTGGCTGCCTCGGTATACTAAATAGTTCTTAAAACATTGTCACTGTTTATTTTTCTAGGTTACACTAGTGCCTTTAACCAGCCCTTATAACTTTTGCAACTGTTACACTATTTTCAGGATCACATCACTTTACAATGATTGGTACTTTGGGAAATGTACAGCAGTCTTTCAGACTGCTCTGCAAGGGCTTTGTCTTTATTGGTGACTGGCTGTATAATTACATGTTTTCTTTCAAAATTCTAGTGTATATTTTTAACTTGGGTGATCAGTTCACCAATACCAACATAGGCTGTTGAATCAGACATACCAAGTGGTCAGCTGAAATGGCTCATTTTGGATATATTTTCCTTTACTTGTCTGGAAAAAAGTTAATGTTTCTTTACTGCATGTGTTCTGTTTATTTTATGTGTATATATCACTTCAGGTGTAATCAGTCAAGTCTGTAAAAATTTCCAACATCTGGTTGAACTCTAGCAATTTCTGATAAATGTTTGATATGCTATTAATCTCCTGTGTTTAATTGGCAAAATATTCTTAGGGAGGTTATTGCTGTAAATTTGTGAAAGCAGCTTTATCCTTTTTGCAGTGGTCATTGTCGTATGGTGTATCAGCAAACTTTTTATCTTCAAAATACAGTACAACCACCACTACAAAATTCAGAGTTCATCATCGTAGTGACCAGAAGTAGTTTAGCTTTGCTCTGTGATGAAGTACCACATCAATAAAGCATATTAATTATGTTACTAATTTTAGTAACATTTGGAATGATCTTCTTGTTACAGCTTCTGCTACATTTGAAGACTTTCAAATCCGTCCCCATGCTCTTTTTGTTCATTCGTATCGAGCTCCAGCCTTTTGTGACCATTGTGGAGAAATGCTATGGGGGCTGGTGCGTCAGGGGCTCAAATGTGAAGGTAAGCTGCAGTGAGATGTGATTTTTCAGCCTCAGGAAGAGACCTATGCATTCCACTTATGCATGTCGTCTGTGATGCTGCTTTTAAATTGAGTAGGTAGAGGCATAGGAACTATCAGAATAGTTAAGTGATTAAAGAACTTATCCTTCTGAGTGCTCTGAAACCTCCTAGATAAGGCTCTGTAACCTGAAGTGGAAAACAATTGGTCTGTGTATGTATTTCCAAGAAACGTTTTTCTATGTCTTACACTTCCCTGTGAGTCTGAGTCTGTATCTCCTTCTATATCACATTAATTCAGATAATTTAACTGAAATTACTGTCAGTACATATGAGGTTGTAATAGTTGTCTTTTCTCATTTTGCCACTATTTGACTCCTGGTAGGCTGTTTCCAATGGGATGTACCATTTGCAGTGAAAGACTTCCTTACCTCTCAGACGCTGATCACAGAAATTTCCTGCACTATAAGATGATAGATTCTTTAAAAATTAAAACCGCGGGTTATAGATATAACTATTTGGAACTTATAGCATTATCCCTCTAAAAATTTGTAGAATATAGGAGCTAAACTAGCAGAGTAGAGGAATAAAGTTTAATCAAAAATGAGGGTGGTGGGTTTGGATTCCTCTTGTATTGGGGGGGGGAAAAAACTCTTTGCTTTTTCCAGTAATAAACCATAATCAGAGGGTTTTAAATTTCTCTTTTCAGGATGTGGTCTAAATTATCACAAGAGATGTGCATTTAAAATCCCTAACAACTGCAGTGGTGTACGGAAAAGGCGCCTGTCAAATGTGTCCCTCACAGGACTCGGCACTGTTCGGACAGTTTCTGCAGAACCCTCACCCAGCATGCCCGATGAAGCCCTTCTGGTATGGGATTGCCTAGCTATATAGGCCACAGGTGTTGTTGGTAATAATGACATTTAGCACTACAGGATCTGGTTTTGCCTGTTGTAAACTACATAGAAGAGCTGTATGTATGTTATAAAGTATTGCTGTGAGAAAAAGCATCTTGACATAAAAGGGAAGTCACCAGCTTTAAGGTACGTGTCACTTCTGATACTCCCAGAAGTCTCCTCCCTTTTGTCAAGAATTTTGAAGTTCTAAAACTACCACCCATACTAATGTGAGTAGGTTCATCTTGGAGGATGTCTCCTCTGGAACTGGAAGTTGAATTTCTTCTGTATCAGACCATTATATCCATTGGTTTATAATATAGTAAAAATTTGCCTCAGGAGAACACTGTGACCCAAACACCACAGTGTCAAACCAAGCATCTGTCACAGTCGGGGCTATAGTTAATTATTTGCATAATTTAGCATATTTCTAAGTGTTCAGAAGAAAGTGGGAGAAACCTCCAATTATTTCCCGATACAGATTTTTGTGGTGAATGTATGTGTATGTCTGTATATATGTGTGTAGATATATATTTAGGTATACAGTACACACACAGGCACACATAAATATATGTTATACTTGTCACACATAAATATATGTTATACTTGTATATACATTACTGTAGTAGTTCCTATCATGAAAACAACTCTTCTGAGAACAAAATGTAATGACTAGAGCAAATTAAAATATGTATTTTTTTATCTTGACATATTTGTTCCTTTCTATGCTCATGGTCATAATGAGCTTGAATAGTTAAGGAATTTACACTGTGTGTAACTGAATCCACTCCTAAGTGAAAGTTTTGAAAACCTTAAGGTTTAAAAGAGAGGAAAGACTTTATAAGTACACACAACAATTATCATGTTTTCCTCTCAATTAGAATATTAAACTTATTAAACTTGACATACTAAAAGGACACTATTGCAAATGATGTAGACCTGGTGTTATATGCAGTACCATCCATGAACCATAATTATGTACTTATCCTACTGATTATCATTAGCCTAAAGCTACTTGGAAATTAAGGTTAACATTATGAATCTGTTTTTTTAATTGAAAAGCTGCATAAATGAGTAAGGTGCTTAAGTTCTGCAAAAACTGCAGCAACAAATCTTTGTAGATTATTCATAGTTCTTAGTAGGTTGTTTCAGAAATGCTGACTTACTCAGGCCAAAACAGAAAATTTTGAGGGAGGCTGGCCCTAGTTCTGAATTGTTTCTGGAATTCTGGTTAAAAATATTGTTCAAGTGAGCATCTTAGTATGGTCTCTATAAAAATTCGCTGCAATTTATAGTTACAAGATAGCAAAAAAATTTAATTTGAAAGCTTTTTTAATTATAATACTGTGTTATTTGCTGATATGTTCTTACATGACATACCTGTTTTGCAAAGCTATGTATTTTGAAACTGTTGAGAATATTAAAATTGACAGTGAAGAAATACAGTAAGTTTCATATATACGTAGACTATACTTCCCTAAGAACTTGTAATCATCAGTGTACCCATGCTGATGATTCAGAACATCACACGTGCACACACACATGTGCATGCTCAAAGAAAATATGTTTACAGTAGGTACAGGGATGGTCACTAGACTAGAGAAATGAAATAGCTTTCCAATTTCACTCTTATTTCAGGAAATCATGGTATCATTTAACAGATTTTCGGAAGTGCTCTCACACATGGTTTCTGTATGTCTTTTGTTTTGTCTTGGGTTTTTTGCACTGAATGTGTTTCAATTTTTCCCCCCGTTTTTTTAAGTGTCTATAAGCTTTGTCAGTTCTCCTGTATCAGATCTGTCCTTTGGACTCCATTCTTCTGCAGTACTTGTGAGATAAGTTTTATCTCACAAGTTTATACTGTGATGCCAATCAAAGCATGCACTTTGGAATGTGTTTCTATTTTCTACAGTCTGGGTGAATATGCTAAGCAATAGCATCCTTATTCACAAAATTATACCATTCATTTTAAGTACTGATGTGGTGCTTCAATTACTGGTAACAAAATATAACCTGTGTTTGGGACTACTGAATTCATCAGGTATCTCTCAATTCTTTTAATAGGACAAAAATACTTTTGCTTCTGTTTACTATGTAGAGTCAGAGCAGTTGGGAGAGAAGGAGTTCCTGGAATTATTTATACTGAGTTACAATTTCAGAACTTTTTGTCCATCTCGTGTGAACCAGACAGAAGCCGACTTTAGCTCATGGTGTTAAATTCAGTTTGCCAGTCTGGCTTCTGGAAAAATGACACGAAGTTAAGACATTTTGCCCTAATTTAGGAAATTGTGACATTTAAAAAAATCTTTGAGACAGGATAATGTGTATCCTGCAAAGGGTGCTTAAATTATCCTTTCATAGGGCACCACCACACACAAACACAATTTCAGTTTGGGTTTAAATGTATTTGTAAGCCAATAAAGCATTTCATTTGAGCTGAAAATTGACTGGGGACTACATTTGACTACAGCTTTAAAATTCTACCTCCAAAGAATAAAATCTGTGCTATATCCTTTTTCTTATTCTTAATTTAGTAATGTAAAACTCATCAACAGAAATGCTGAAAACAAGTACAAGTAGGAGGATGCTATGTAACCCAGATTTTTACCTGTCATAGCTCAAGTGCAATTCTTTTGCATTCTATAACATGCGATGAGGCTATAAAATAATCCCACATTCATGCTTGCTTCTAAAGTAACAATATTTCTGTCTTTTTTCTCTCCCTTATTTCTTTGTTCTGTTTTTAATTTCCCACTTCATGTCTCAGTCTCCTGTCAGCCCTGGCTATGAGGTATGTACTGAATTTACTCCCTGTCATACTATCAGGATCATCTTCTTTTATGAGTATCAGTGTCAATGTGAAGAAATGCATAAATTTAATCAGATTAGTATATTACAATCTTAAGAACTCAAGAGCATTTGTTTTTCTTTTAGAAAGAATATACCCCATGTGAAACTCCAAAGTCCAGATTCCAAAGTGAAGGTCATCATTCTTACACTAAACAGTAAAATTAGCTAACATTAAAATATTTTGATACAGAAGTGGCTCTTTTATTTTTTTAGGCATGATAAAGGTCATTAGTTGGACTGAAGCCCTTTTTTACTGACAGTAGCATGTGGGAAGAAAATTTTAATTTCATTTCAGAACATTGGGAATTTGCTGGAGTAATGTCTAAAATTAATATTTTATTTTAAGCTGAACAGACCCAACCTTTAAATGCTCACCAGCAATAAGCTTGTAATGCAGTTTAGTTCCTTTTTTTCAGATCATGATTGCATTAAAAAAAAAAACAAACCAAATAACCCAGCACAAACAGTGCACAACTAAATTAAAGCTATATATGAAAAGAGTATCAAGTCTGAATCAAAAACAGGTTTGTTTTTTTTTTAACGGTTACTTTATGTCAATGGATGTCCTCTTTGGATTTTAGTATGGATTTTCCAAAGAAGCTTTTTGTGTTAAAAGATTCAAAAGTTTTTAAACTAGGAAATGTTGGCCTCTTACCCTTGCAGCATATATTTGAAATGCAGCCAAAGAGCAGGCTTTGCTAATATTTTCCTTTTTAGTAATATTACATAATTAATCTGAGTAATTTTTTTTTACGCTGAAATGAAGGTTATCATGGCCAAATATCTATCTCTTTGAAAAAAAATTTCTTCCTAAAACACATATATTCTTTTTGCAGAAAAAATATGTTTCGTAGAATATATTACAGTATTACAGCTCCACAGAATACCCATGAGACAATAAAACAAGCATGTATAGAACAGCGATGTTTTAATATCCAAGATAATTTTATTCTAAGTATGTGCTATCTTACAAATGATGAATCCATCAATCTGGATAGTGATGGATTACTTTATATTAACAGTAATTAAAAGAAAAAAAAAAAGATATTTGGAGGAAAACCAAAATTGTGTTTCTTTGTAAAAAGAAAATGTATTAACTATCTATGTTTTTACTTCAAATACATTTATATGAGACAATAGAATTTTATTTTTGTTTATTTTTATATAGGTTTCTGTTATTTTGCTAAATTTTACTCATTCTTCTAGAAGTGATGAATGTTGATATATTAAAGTAATTTTAGTTACATTGGAAGTGATTTCTCAGAAAAAGCATAGCTGAGCTTTGCATTTAAAATAGCAGTGCTATGTCTCACGGGGCACAGGTAAGTGGAATATTACAAAGTTACTTACATACTATCTATCTTTGCTTTTTCTGAAGAACCAGGGATTATTTTTTACGAAATAATTTAAAATTTAAATAATTTTAATTGAAAATATTATTTACATATCACTGACAGACCACAGAGCACCAGGTGTTGCCTGCCTCTGTAGATTTGTTACGAGCAGAGCTGGCTTGAGGCTTTTCAGCTATATACAGAAGAGTTATTTTGCAGAACTAGAACAGTAGAGTCTCTGGGAGGGAATTGTCTTGAGTTGTAGGTGATCATTTTCTCTTTCTTCACTTGTACCCAGCACTTCATACAGCTGCTCTTTTCTTTTACTCCACTGAAATAAGGAGTCCTTATTTCTAGTGACTCAAAAATTCGCACTCTATGAAGCGCGAATTTTCCACACTTAGAAGTTGAATCTCCTTTTCCCAGTTCCAGTCCCTGTAGTCCCTCCCTAGCTCACTGGACTGGAAAAAAGGAGCCCTTGAGGGAAGGGTTAAAGAAGAGCTTAGGGTGTTGCAGCTGAGAGCTTCATGCCTTAAACCAATTGTAATTAGTAGGAGTCCTTTTCTAATGGCTAGAATAGAGATCATTAGACCAAAGATCCTCCCAGAAAAAATTAGTATTTTGTTTCAAAGACAGACACTTGAGTTAACTGTAAATTAATACCACTCATAGTTATATTTTAGTCTTGTCAGCCCCAAGGTATCCTTCCATGCACCGGTGATGTACACTGCACATTCCTCTCTGTTTTATGGGAAGATTTTCTGTGTGGTCATTTGTTTAATAAAAAAAG